ATTTTCAGGGGCATTTTTTAAGACAGTGTATTTTGGGGAGATAAATGTGAAATTATTGCTTTGAGCTAAAACTAAAATCAAGACCAAATGCTAAAGTAATTGTAAATAATGCATTTTAAATCATCATTCAGTTTTGTTAGATCATGTACTCTCCCAGACTTGAATACAATCACAGTTTTAGGTTTTGGGGTTATTTTGGAGTGTTTTAGTTTTATTCTATTTTAATTTTAGCAACACATTCAACAACATTCATAGACATTTGATTTATTTATTTATTTTTATTTATTTTATTTTTTTTGAAGGAAATGAAAACTTTTATTCAGTATGTTACAAATAATATATATAGGCTATCAAATAAATGCTGTTCTTTTGATTTTTCAATTAATCAAAGAATCCTGAAAAATCTATCACCATTTCCACAAAAATATTAAGCAGCACAAATATATTCGGCATTGATAATAAAGAGAAATGTGTCTTGGGCAGCAAATCAGCATATTAGAATGATTTCTGAATTAGAATGATTTCTGAATTGGAATAATTTCTGAATTGGAATGGTTTCTGAAGGATCATGTGACACTGAAGACTGCAGTAATGATGCTGAAAATGCAGCTTTGCATCACAGGAATAAATTACATTTTAAAATATATTCGTTTTTTTTTAAGGTATCCCTGTTACAGTGTAATTATACATTTAAGTACTGAGTAATATTAATTAACTACATGTACTTACTATTTGGTTAGGATTAGGGTTTGGCTTAGGGTTACTTGCACGTAATTATGCATAATTAATTGTTATTATATAGTAAGTACATGTAACGTGTAATAAAGACACCTTAAAATAAAGTGTTACCATATATTCAAATAGGAAATAGTTATTTTAGATTGTAATCATTTTTGCAATATTACTGTTTTTACTGTATTTGTGATCAAATAAATAGATAAAAATGGAAATCCCAATTGGGTATTTTCTGTATCTGGGCCATTTTTTTTAGTTAGTTTTTATCTGAATTTCTGATCATGGTTACTGATGTAAAGGGCTGGAGGGCGGGCTGTTTGTTCTGAATGAAACCTTTGCTTTAGAAACGCAGTCCCTCAGCTTTCATCATTTGAGTCTCTGATACAGCTCACAACGCCTGGCATTCACCTTCACCTGAACCTCAAGCGTCAAAGAGAGAGAAAATGACTGTGTTTGTATAGAAAAAGCCCTTACAACAAACACTATAAGGGTCCTTTCCATTCAAAAAATGTTATTACACTGTTTTCACATTACATTATTACTACCCCTCCGCCTACCCCTTCCCCTTGTCCCTTGAAACAGAGTGTCAAGGGGTAGGGGTGAAAATATTCCCCTAAGAATTGGGACACCACTACTATGCCGTCACACGTTATCATACGTCGTCTAGCTCCTACAATACACACACCTATACTGGTGTGCTGGTGTGCATTAGAGCCTTTAATTACCGTTCTATATTAATGCGCTGCTTACTGACACACACACACACACACACACATATACAGTGGGTACGGAAAGTATTCAGACCCCCTTAAATTTTTCACTCTTTGTTATAGTCAAGCCGAGTGAAGGTTATCTGACCTCCTGTGCAGGCACACTACTAGTCAAAAGTTTGTAATAATTATGATTGTTTAATGTTTTTGAAAGAAGTCTTTTTTTGGTCAAAAATACAGAAAAAATAATACTGTGAAATATTATTACAATTTAAATAAGTGAATATATTTTAATTTATTCCTGTGATGTCAAAGCTGAATTTTCAGCAATATTACTCCAGTCTTCAGTGTCACATGATCCTTCAGAAATTATTCTAATATGCTGATTTGATGCGCCACTGACCGTGACATCTCTGTTTGTGTTCCATAATTTGAGTGATTTAATCCTTTGAAGGGATTGTTCACACAAAAATGAAAATTATACCATGATTTATGCTTTGTATACTTTGCACCCTCAAGCCATCCTAGGTGTAAATGACTTTCTTCTATCAGACAAATGCAATCGGAGTTATTTTAAAAAATGCCCTGGCTCTTCCAAGCTTTATAATGGCAGTGAATGGGAGTTGAGATTTTGAAGCCCAGAAAAGTGCATCTATCCATCATAAAAAGTACTCCACACTCTCCTGGGGTTTAATAACGGCCTTCTGAAATGAAGTGATGTATTTAGTTAAGAAAAATATCCATATTTAAAACTTTATAAACTGTAATCTCTAGCTTCCGCTAACTGTCGTACACGCGTTCACGAGAGAGTGGCGCTTCAGCAGATGACGTTGGACATAGGCGTAGCGAAAGCTTTATAAAGCATGGCTTGTTTATAAAGGATGGCTTGAGGGCGAGTAAATCATGGGGTAATTTTCATTTTTGGGTGAACTATCCCTGGTTGAAATACACAACACGACTTTTAAAGTCTGACTTTCAAGTTATTCCAAACACAAGAACCTCAAGCAGAAACACATGCGTTGTTGCTAGGAGACGTGTGAAAAATAAAAACAACGTGTTCTAAAATCGGTTCAAATTATCAAACATTTCTGATATCCTCCGACTGGATGGAATCATAGTCTGAAGCTAAAAATCAGAGTCTGTGACCATCATGCACTACGTGATTTTCTATGAAATCTGTCAACTCAAAACTGGAGACTGTCTCGGCAACTATAGCGTCAACTTGTCCAGACTGTAAATCAGGGCAAAAATCTGAGTAAAGTGCAGTGTATTCCAGCCTTAAGTTGTACTTTAACACTCATTCATATGAAGCGCAGATGAAGGTCAGCTGATACACTCTGTTAGACCTGCTTGTTGGGTCTTGGTAGTTATCCGTCGATCGGGCCTTTTCTCTTGCACGGCGCGGGGACGCCAGTATCTGTACATTTCTAATTAGAGGCAGGAAATGTTTATTGGCATTTGATTGGGTGGGCCTTTGCTGTGACTCTGGGCACATTTTAAACAGACTATTTCAGCATCCTGTTTAAACTCGCTTTCATAGCAAAAGGACAAGCAGGGCAGACTGGCCCACAATTACATAAGATAACAATGAAATCATGATTTCAATTAAAAAACATCAGCATATTATTCATATCATAATATAATAAAACAATAATAAATAACATAATATGAGTATTATAATGTGTTCCTGTGGCTCAGTGGTAGAGCATTGCAAAGCAGTGTAAAAGGTCGTGGGTTCAATTCCCAGGGAACACACATACTGGTAAAAAATTTATAGCCTGAATGCACTGCAAGTCGCTTTGGATAAAAGCATCTGCTAAATGCATACATTTATTTATTTTTATATCACTAAAGTGAGGAAGTTGTATGAGGCCTGTAATGGCTGGAAATATAACCTGCACATCACTTCTGATCATTCTTGTCTAAATTCTGAGGGAAGAAACAGGTAGCAATGAATATGGAATGAGACTAACTGAATATTAAAGAAAATATTCTCCACACCCCAGAGACTTTTTTTTTTCAGTATGTCTGAATCTTCTGAACTGCAACATGCAAAATATGCAACAACAAAAAAAGGCACTATGAACTCAATCATCTCCCTCACATTGTATCTGAAATATCCTCCTGTGTTTATTCTGGGGGTTTTCTCTTGTTTTCAGAGACTTCTTTTTTAATTGTTCAGATGGCAATTCTTTGAAGTATCCTTTTCCATTGTTAAGTTAGTTTTTGCAGAAAGCTGCAAATCGAGTTCTCCTTACAGCCAGATGAACATCTATGAGTATGTGCGTTCACAGTTCAGCATATTTCCTGAGCTGATCTTTATGTCTGCTGACTAGGACATGAGTCACATAGCTGGACTAGCAGTTTGTGTGGGTTTGATATACATCTTGATTCTTTGAAATGATGTGCATGAAGATAATAAGATATATTCTATTCAGCCATACAGGGCAACGGGTTCATGATTTCAGAAAACAGCTGCTGGATGCTTCTCGGGCTGTGTCTTCTCTCATTGACTCTGAACTTTCCAACATTTATATTCTATTCTACGGCCTTGTCTTTTAACCGCAGTTGCAGTTAATAGTTGGATTTCATAATCTCTCAAAAATTATTTTCATTTGAAAGTGCATTCCCCTATGTCTGAACACTTTAGGGCTGAAAAATAAGAAACAGATTTAAAAAAAAATAAACCGAACTGAAAATTATTTTTATGACTTTTTATGGTCCTGTTAAAGGTTCTTGAAAGTTGCAGATGGAAAGCTGTATTAAAATGTAAATGGAACAAATGACTTATAAAGGGATAGGCCATCCAAAAATGAAAATTTGCTGTTAATTTACTCTCCCTCAGGCCATTCAAGATGTAGGTGACTTTTTTATTCAGTAGAACAGTAAAGAAGATTTTTAGCTGAAACCGTGGTCCTTCGTGATTCACAAAATGCTGGTCAACGGCTACCGGCACGTTTTTTGAGAGTCAAAAAAAGCATATACAGGCAACACAAACTATATATAGATATCTTATGAAGCTTTTTCTTGTGGTCTGTGCAATAAACTGAACCTTATTTACAACATTATTACCTGTAATCCATAGCCTCAGCCAAACTGGAGTGATGTCCGGTTTGCAAACAAATCGTTCTTTTGAAATGGTTCTTTTTCGCCAAAATTTTCTGTACTTTATTGAGATGTTTCTTTGTAATGGTTCAGTCAAAAAGACCCATCTCATGATTTTTGAATCAGTATGAATCAGTCTAACTTCTCAGCCTAACATTATAATGTCCATCTCAAAAATAGTGTTGTGTTTTAGCTTTTTTTATTTGTATAGTAGTTATATAGTAGGCAAAAAGACCCTCAAATCTCCATCTCAAGAGTTGTAAGAATCTGTAAATGCCTTGCAATTCCATACTTGTATGTAGACACCAAATGAAGTCCTTGATTTCAGGGTGCCGTGATGTTTGCTTAAAGAAGAATACTTCTGAACAAATGAGAAATTGTTCGAATTAAACTACTAGCAAAGTTATTGAGTTAAGCAATGAACCTGTCTCCTCTGTTTCTTCTCTTTAGGACCGTTTGTTCTTCGTCATGGAATATGTGAACGGCGGAGACCTGATGTTCCAGATCCAACGTTCACGCAAATTCGATGAAGCTCGTTCCCGGTTTTACGCTGCCGAGGTGACCTCAGCCCTCATGTTCCTGCACCAAAATGGGGTCATTTACAGGTAAATTCATTGCTAGGCAACTGACCACTGAAAAAGGACAAAGGTCAAACAGCATTCAGGCAGTGTTTGGTTCCAAACCATAAACTTCTTCTGTTTGTCTCACTGATAGACATAGCATCATTGTTAAGCAGCCAAAAGAATGCAATGTCTTGAAACGCCTCAGCCAAAATACCATTGTAACGCACAAAAGATGCATTCCAAATTTAGTGAAATTTTAGCCTGATCGTTTTTGGATGGAAAATTAGCCATCCGTTCCAAGTGTTTGCTCAAGTTTAATCCGGAATCCAGATAATTTCTTTTCTCAGAGGGCTGTCACGCAATCCTGAACAGATTAGGTCTGAAGCGAATCAAATGAAGTCTGTATCACATGAGCTGGCTCTGGCATGGTACGTTGAATCTTTAGGAGCTATTTTGCCTAGAGACAGGAGCCCTTGTCTGCCTTGTTTACCTCAGGTTGTTTACTTTGATGAGCTATGTGCAATGATTTATTCGTTCCCAGACAGTTTGTTTACCTTCTCAATTGTGTGTCATTAACCACACACAACGAGCAGTGCTTCTGGGGCTGGAAGGCCAGGCTTTCCTTGGGATCATTTTTATCTATCACTGGGTTTTTTTTACTGTGGAATCCATCTTAACTGTCCAAAAATATCATAAGTTTGCATGTTGTTTACGCAGCATTATTCTGTAGTGCTGACGCGTCATACACATGACATTTTACAGTGAAATTGCATGCATGACATCAACACTACAAAATAACGCTGCACATGAGAACAGAATCTGTTATACAGATTGCAATACAGATTTCATTGTAAAACCATATGCATGATGCCAACACTACAAATGTAAAGCTGCACATAAACAACATGCAAACCTATGATGCTTTTGGAATTTGTAATACAGATTAATTTGTCATTCCAGTATGAAATTGTTTGTTTGATGCCAGAACTTCAAAATAAGTCTACATGTAAACAACATGCAAACCGGTTATGTTTTTGGACTGTATGACAAGAAAATGACAAGCTGAATCTGTAAAATGACAAATGAATCTGTAATACAGATACATTTGTCATTCTGCTATAAAACTGCATGCATGACGCTAGAACTACAAAATAAAGCTGCATGTAAACAACATGCAAACCTATAATGTTTTTGGATAGAATGACAAGAAAATTACAAGCTGAAACTGTAATGACTAATGAATCTGTAATACAGATTCATTTCCCATTTCACTGTAAAATCATATATATGACTCCAGCACTACAAAATTAATCTGCATGTAAACAACATGCAAACCTGTTATGTTTTTGGACAGTGTGACAAGAAAATGACAAGCTGAATCTGTAAAATGACAGATGAATCTGAAGTACAGACTCATTTGTCATTCTGCTGTAAAATCATATGCTTGATGCCAGCACTGCAAAATAACAGTGCATGTAAACTACATGCAAACCTATGATATTTTTGGACGGTATGACTACAAAATGACAAGTTGAATCTGTCATGTAAATGACAAATGTAATACAGATTTATTTGTCATTTAACAAGTTCAGCTTGTCACTTTTATAGTTGGTTCAACAGAATAATGCAGGGAGCACAAGTCATCTTGACCTCTTCTTCCCGTTGCCCCTCTGGGCCTCACTGAACCCAGCGACCTGTGAGTTTCCTCACCCACCCATTCTCGGCCTGGTCCTGAGCTCTTTCTGGTCTCAGACAGGAAGAATCTCATTTGGAGTTTAATGTTGTATTGAATTAAATCCACCTCCTCCCCAAACCTGCCTTCCTGACCCCATTTTTTCAGAGACTGAAGGGAAATGGGGGTTCTTATGAAAGTAGGACACTTAAGGCGAATAGGTCAAGCAAAGACAGTGGTTCTAATTACATGGAGTTTATTATTTTTCCCCTTCAAAATTAACAATTATCTCTGCTACTCTAGGGACTCCTTCATCAAGTTATTGGTATGTTCAACAAAAAGAACATTGGTTACATGAGCTTTATTTGAATTGCAAGGCACAAGAAACCAAAATGTGAATTACAACATAGAACTTGCCAAAATTACAGCCTGATACATGTGTTTTTGTTTTTGTTTTTTCTTTTGGTCATTTCTTATCTCATTTAGTGTGTCTCCTGAAATTGCTTTTTAAAAAACTTCTCCATTCACTCCATGAGCAGGATCTATTTAAGAACACAGTGTGTTGGACGACTGCCATGACATCCATTCATGTATCTTACCCACCTCCCAGTTGTCTGACCCCTTGTTTATGGTTGCGACTGCTGACATGACGTTCCTTTGGCAAGAAAGTGGACAGGATGTGATTTGCTCAATATGAATGGCGTATTGTGTGTTATAAGAATAACAGCACACACACACACACATGGACTTCCAGTTATACACCTCAAATTCAGCTCTGGCGCCAGTTCTGTCAATTACCTGATGGTGACGACCAGACCATGACACGCTGAACTAGTGCTCTGCCATCACTGAAGGTCATTTCATGCAAAGCGTGCTGGGAGATTGATTGATCAGAAGGCCTATCTCATCTGGCTCTGGCTCTGCTCTGGCCCAGCACAGGAAAAAACAAAGGAAGCATAAATTGTGCAGGTACTCCATACAGGAGATGGGGTTCGCAAAATAATATGGTGTCCTGGAGACCAATTTCCCACTAGGTACATAAAACATTTCACTCATCTGTCTGTCTGTTTGAATATATGTTATAAGGGAAATTGTTCAATATTGTGTATAGGGCAGACTGGAGTTAGTTGTTGCATTGGGAAACTTTTCACACATCTTAAGCTATAAGGAATTTTAAAAAGTCCAATTATGCATGTGTATATTTACTATCAGTGATTTTTGTTGGTTCCAAACATCTAATTCAAAAGCATAGTTTTTTTCGTTCTTTCTTTGTGTGTGTGTGTGTGTGTGTGTGTGTGTGAATTTTTTCCTCCAAACTAAAATTTGAATTTCATCATTTTTTGTTTTGTTTTGTTTTTTTGCCGTAGCTGTTGGATAAAAAATTGGATACAATAAAACCACACTGACAAGTTTTTAACTCAAATTACAGTGCTTATGACACAGGTCAGGGCAAGTGGTCACTTTTTTTGGACGGTTATTAAATTGATTTAAGTTTATTTCTTATCATTTCAATTGGCCAAAGCAATGGTATGATATTTTGCATGTTACTTATAATTTATTTATATACAGGACTGTTGAAAAGTTTAGGGTTGGTAAGCTTTTTTAATGTTTTGAATGTTTCTTCTGCTCACCAAGGCTGCATTATTTGATCAAAATACAGTACAACAGTAATATTCTAAAATATTATTCCAATCTAAAATCACTGTATTCTATTTGAATATATTTTAAAATGCAATTTATTCCTGTGATGCAAAGCTGAATTTTCAGTATCATTACTCAAGTCTTCAGTGTCACATGATACTTCAGAAATCATTTTAATTCTAAGATGCATTCTAAGATTTGCTATTCAAAAAACATTTCTTATTTTTTATTAGTTGAAAACAGTTTTGTCACTTAATATTTTCGTGGGAACTGTGATACTATTTTTTTCAGGATTAAGGTGTTCAGTGAAGGTTTTTTTTTTTTTTTTGCAAAGATTTTAACATTTTTAGTGATGAATGTGGTCAAACAAAAAGTGTGACATTAACCCTGGTCACCCCTAAATCTGATCACCCTGCTAAAAGCAAGCCATGAGCCATTGTCATCATAGCTTCGAGCGTGGCACTTAATGTTAGGTTGCTTCAGTAATAAGTTTAAGCAGAGCTCTATGACGACATCATGTGAAACTTGTGAAAATTTCTACTGGTTATAAATAAAGTTCCCAGATTATTCCCCCTTTGGCCTTTGGTCTCATTCTGAATGGCATCCTTGCGTTTTGGGAAAGCCCTACATTGCAGGAGACCTGCATGTCGGAACACAGTCTGCGTGTTAACGCTTCTGCATGCAAGCACAGGGCAGAACAGCATTTTTCCCCCATGAGAACCAATTTCACCTCACTGTGACCTGCCACACATACCTAAAAAAAAACTAAATGCAGAACATTCTAGAACAAAATGCGCAGGGGCAGCTTTCTTCTCCCTATCAGGGAAGGACATGGTGGCAGTTTTGACTGAAACCACAGAAGTTTGATCTGGTTAAAGAGGACATGTTTGAGCTTGATTTCCCTGCTGTAGATTGCAATTGGCTGCTTTGGTTGTTTGTTCGGATTCAGCGCTCTAAAAATAGATAGTAAGAGCAGGTGGCATAGATGTAGCTCCTCTGCTTGATTACCCATCTTTTGTTGACCTGTGGCTCTTGAGGGATTTTGTAACGGTGTAACATAGGAGTGTTAGGGGTATAGAGGACACAACAGCACAGTGAGATCTGTTTGTCAGATGGATGTGCTCTTTGTAACCTTTCACCTAAAAAGCAACATAAGCCTATTGAGGCGCTGTTCACTTTCATACAATAAGTATCCTTGTGATCCTCTTTCTGTAAGGGTTAATTGATATGTATTAAACCAAGAGCACATTCAGAGAAAAAACAGGCTCTTACTTTAGTAAAGCAAGGTCTTCTGTGTGCTAAGTCTGGACTAAGAAGCACACTTACAGCCCCTATAATTGCTAATCACTGTAACCTTGTACGCAAGTTGTGTTTTACACGATGATTGGTTGATTTTTGTTCCTTTCCGTTCACTAATATCAACAGAGAAACGGCAATCTTGTTTCTGGGGCACTGCTCTGCAGGTGACCTGGGCTACTAGTTGCTGTGTAATTTAGTTATAAAGAGTATTTTCTTCACTGTTATGCATGAATATTAATTAGATCATGCGGACGTTGCTTGGTAAGCTTCCAGGAGTGTCCGACTAACTTAGTATTCCTGAGCAAAGTGCTCACCTTGGTAGGGTAGGTAAATTACAGGTAAATATACAGACATCTGAGAAGATAACAGTCCATCAATAGCATTACATAATGCCTAATAGATCATTAATTAAAATGCAAATTTCTCAGTGCATGCTTGTGTAAAATGTGTGTGCATGCATTTGTGTAAATTGTACCAATGTTAAAGTATTTTAAACTTTAAACTTAAACTTTTCTGTGTTCCATGAAATTTGAACTTTAAAGTGGTGCTAAACTAATATTTTAGCATAGAGCTGTCTAATGTGATATATATTATGTATAAAGTATAAATATAATAAATATTTATACACTAATGTTTTTTATTTATTTATTAGATTTTAATCTATTAAATTAGATTTTTTTTGTTTTAAAACAATTTAAAATAAATACAATTATTACCGTTTAAAATGACTTTTGATGTCAAAGCTGAATTTTTAGCATCATTACGCCAGTCTAATCATTTTAATGTGCTGATTTGCTGCTCAAGAGACATGTCTTATTATTATCAATGTTAAAAACAGTTATGCCGCTTAATATTTTTGTGGAAACAATGATACATTTTTCAGGATTATTTGATACATTTAAAAAAACAGCATTTATTTGAGAAATAAATCTTGTAACACTATTATCACTTTTGATCATTTTTAAATGCATCCTTACTGAATAAATGTGTTATATATATATATATATATATATATATATATTACGCCAGTCTAATCATTTTAATGTGCTGATTTGCTGCTCAAGAGACATGTCTTATTATTATCAATGTTAAAAACAGTTATGCCGCTTAATATTTTTGTGGAAACAATGATACATTTTTCAGGATTATTTGATACATTTAAAAAAACAGCATTTATTTGAGAAATAAATCTTGTAACACTATTATCACTTTTGATCATTTTTAAATGCATCCTTACTGAATAAATGTGTTATATATATATATATATATGTGTGTTATACACACACACACACACACACACAGTGATTTGTCATTCTAAATATTTGCACACAATGGTAATATAAAATATATGGTATTTAATAGATATTAATATTAAATGTATAATTATTAATTATTATTATTAGCTAAATGTTTCCAATTTTCTAACATTATAATAAAGAGTTGTACGTCATGTCCTTCATTGGTATTGTTGTAATGGAATAGCGTATTGTCCTTTGGAAAAAAATGCATATTTTTCAGCTTTCTAGCACATTTTTTTTTTTAGCAAAGAGGTCACTGTGTACGTAATGCAAATATCACTCCTCCAGATTCACTTAAAAACACAGGAAATGTTCTAAATTGAGTCTGTTGCCATCTCTCCCTCTCTCTCTCTCTCTCTCTCTCTCTCTCTGTCTTTCTCTGGCTCTGCCTTGTTGTTCTATGTTGTTGTGTTCTTAATATGTCAGTACTTTCCTCCAAATGAAAGGAGCTCTAGTGAAATTTAATACAATAGTTAATCTCAACCTTTATAGCCCTTTTGTGTTTTACAGCTCGTGCTAAACTCGAAAGCTTCTCATGTCGTTTATATGTTTTTCTTTTATCATTATTTAAACTGCCTTTCATCGAAAACTTTTTTTAACTTACTAATTTACTTAGTAAAAGCACCTTTTCAAATGTCTTATTGTTTTTAGGTTTCCATATTTTACACGTTTAGCATTTACGTTTGATTCATTCATTAATTTATGAAAGATAAGTGAGAATCAGTATTGAGGAATGATGTTACTTTTAAACAAAGAGGATTTAATGAGGCTCTAATGAGGCATTTTATTTGCACAGAACCAACGGCACATCTAATCGGCTTCTGATATTGTGTGGATATTATCTCGAATCTGAGTGGACCTGAAGCCTCACCTCACAGTCTCAAAAAGTCTCTGACAAAAAATAAATAAATATGTTACTTAAGATCCTGGCATTCACCGTTTATGCACTTCAAAGAGGACAGATAAGAGCGGCAAATGTAGCAAAGTCACATAATCTAAATCAACAAATGAAGCTCGCCGGATGAATTAAGGTCTCTTTCTTGGGAAAGAGAGGAAGGGCGGCGTGACCGGGACACGTTGGAAGGTGTGTGGAGTACCTTAGGACTTAGACAGGAATGGATAGAGGGAGAAAAAGAGAGACAGATGGAGAGATGGACGATTCTGGAAGCGCATGTGGGTATATAGGACAATACAGAGCAGCCGTTCACGTCTCATGAACTTTCCACCTCTTTCTTTCTGTGAACCTACACTAAAGGTCAAACACACCTACTCTTTCTTTAATTGACTTTTTCACATTTTAATAATAGTTGATGACTCAAGTGGAAATTTTAAACTAATTTATTTTATATAGACTTTAACATTTTGACTCCTCAATCAAGAAGTGGATCATAAATTTGGGAAGTGGGTCTCTCATCTTTCCAACATTCATTACTAACACTTTTCCACACTTCTGCATGTAAAGAGTGATTGAAGACTCTCGGTGGGGAAAGACAGAGAGGAATGAAGCCCCCCGCGCCAACTTTCAGACCAACGGGAACGTGCCGAGCACCAGGGTGCCTTTCTGAAAGGAACAGTTGCGTGAGGGATCCGACGCTCCCCTCCCTTTTCAGTGAGGATGGTTTTATGAAAACACCTTTGACTGAATGACATCCTGCGAAGTGATGTTGACATTCTTGTTGCAATCAACCATCAAACCCCAATCCAACTGGTTTAATCCAACTCTGTGTTGTCTTTCATCAGTGGCACCTTATCATCTCACGCTCTCCTTTTCTTGTTTCGTTCGCTCTCTCTCTCTTCACCTTCTTCTTGTGCTGGTTAAATTCACTGCACGGGTACATGCAGAGCACCTTTTACATAAATTTGTGTCTTATGCATCCCCATAAGCATGATATAATACTGCAGCATTGACAAGTCTGGCCTGAAATATGTTATTTTAAACCTACACTGGATATTTGTTTTGCATTATCACTACTAAAACCTGCAACTTTACTTAATTACTTCTGTATGTATGTAAGCAATGCTGTGGACAATTTATATTTTACTTAAGAAAGTAAAGTAAAAAAAAGTATTTGTAAATATTTAAACATGGATGTATTCAAATATTAAAAACATAATAAATACAATTATGAAAATCAAACGTATACATTTTTAAGTTTTAAAAGTTCTTACTTTTTAGTTAGTACATTTTTCACATTTTGAATTATTTAAATATTTCTTTTTTTTTTTTTTTACCTAACAGTCAATAATCAAATTACACTACAATTAATTTGATCTTTTATACTGCTTTTATCAATGCGATTTATCAATTTGACAAACTTGACTGAAATGTGAACATGGTTGACAATCAAACTATCAACAACTGTTTTCAAATGTCACAGAACTATTAAATTTAAGTTTTAATGATTTCAGGTGCAAGAGTGTTATGAGACCTGTCAGAACATTGAAAGAACTGGACAGGTTGATACAGTTTTATACAGATTGTGTGAAATCTCTGTATCTTGACTTCTTCAGTCAAGTTCACTATTTAAGAATTTTTAATTTTAGGATCTTATTTTCAATGAAAATAAATATGGAAACTTTTTTTTTTCTTTTTACTTTCACAAAAGTTTGTCATGATACTTAATTGACTAAAATTTCTGAAATGAATTGCATATTCTGTTAGAATGTTTGGTGTCACTGGTCATACTTGTGTGTTGTCTGTTTGGTCATAGATTTTTCTGTTGCTGTCTGTCCGTGAGCAAAGGCTGGCATCAGGATATTAGTGTCCGCTTGATCAAACAAATATCAGATATTTGAGCGTCAGTTAATGATTCACCTGCTGTGTTGCAGTGTTAAGTGTTGCTTAATGTTTAAATAGAGACTTTCAGAATCTAGGTCATGCATCAGTCATTTTAGGATGCTTAAAGGGATAGTTCACCCAAAAATGAAAATTTGATGTTTATCTGCTTACCCCCAGGGCATCCAAGATGTAGGTGACTTTGTTTCTTCAGTAGAACACAAACAAATATTTTTAACTCAAACCGTTGCAGTCTGTCAGTCATATAATGGAAGTGAATGGGAATCA